GGGTAAATTTCTAAAGGGGATTGTTAAGCTAAAGGAAGTGGATCTGCCTCTGAAAGTAACATAAGCTGGTATTCTTCCTGTATTTCTTTCAGTCTGGTAAACGTTCATTGTCTCACTTGCATGAAAGCAGAAATTATTTCTAGAAATTCCACATGTGCTGTCGATGCCGAAAGGGTCGTGTCTTTTCAAATCATCTGCCACCTGCTCCTATCGCTGCGATTTTACACAAATGTAGGAAAAAAGTTAATTTGTACTGTCAAATTCAAAATAAATACAAATTCAAAAAGAATTTGGAGTTACAGTATAGCTAGTTCATATTTAGGATCAAGTTTTGCTAAATTAGATTTTTAGCAGCCACTGAGTCTGGGGGAAAATAAGTCAGACTTTTAAACCACATTCTTAAGATACAAGCTAATATATGTTGTGTTGTGATTAACAAGATTTATTTGTAACTCTTGAACTTTACAAGCTGCACTGAAGATGCTCCTTCATTTAATTGTTTTGAAATAGATTTTAGGATGCCTATTTGAACACACCCTAATTGTCTCCATGTTTCTGCCCTGCTTCCATGCCTAGCCGGCCTTATAAAGTGGGCTGCTCCTCAAGACAGAGCTGCTGCTTCACTGAATAAAACTACGCCTCCAATCTCTGAAATCAACTTCTTGACTCGCCAGCCGTGGGGACCGTTAGATGTGAAAAACAAGATAAACCAGCCAAGCAAAGTACATTTCCTCTTTGTGTCACACATACATTACTTTCCATACATCTTCCTGACAAAATGTGTAACATCAAAAAAGAAGAGGTTTATTTTTGTATGTATCTTTTCAACAGTGTTCGCACATCAAGCCATTCATTAAGTCCACAAAATGTACCTCCACTGCTGGGCATGACCAATGCATAATACGTGAAATAGAAAGGATGTGGTCATGAATAAATGTGTTCCAGTTTCCTGGTATACAAACAGTACACAAAGGTCAAATGTGGCACCGCCCTGCTCTGACAGCCAATACATCTCCAACAGGAAGTTATTCTTTGTTGGTTCCTAAACAACTGGAGCCAAATTCCCTCCCAAAATGTCCTTGAGGCAATAAAACAGCCCGGTGGGGACTGGCAGCGGGGGTTTAGGAAACAGTACTCGGTAGTGGGTGGGTAAGCCTTGCTGGTCTCTGAATCATCATCCCACCAGGCCCTGTGGTTATTTTGAGTGGTGGGATATTTGTGGCCGGGGATGGAGCACTGGCTGCTCCCATCCTGCCTTTCAAAAAGGGCGGAAGCAGGTTGGACATGTGTGCTTCTCACACGCTGTGAAAAGAGGGGTTTATTTACTGCAGGTACTTTTCATACTGTAATAGGTATCACAAAAACAATAACTCTTTTTGATTAATAAGTACCATGGGATTGACATTTTTTTACCCATTTCCATTATTACATACAATTCTGTGTTGTACTGAGTAAACAACAAATATGGTTGATCAGTTCTAACAAGACATAATCCCTAGAGTTCTGGGTTCAGGTTATGTTATGATCCGGTAGATAAAGTCTTAACAAGATGAATGGATTACACCCAACGACCGCGGCATCTCGAGATAAGGGAGCTAAAAATATGTCTTTGTGGAAACAGGATGACTTTTTTTATCCAACAACAATAACAACCTAGTTTCAAAGTTAGGTGCAAGGACTTCCTCAAACCTGGGTTGTCTTCCTAAAGGGGAGCTAAGAAGGTTTCTTTTTAAAATAACCATTAAAAAACATCTATTTGAAATGAGGAAGTTAGTGCACAAAACCGATATCTGTTTTATAAAAAGTGTGTTACAATTGAAATAGAAAGTAAAGAAGAGTTGAACAGTTCACACCAGAGATGTAATGTGACAGCTCGAAGAGCATGATGGTTGATAATGTGTGTTTTTTGAACTTTGAAGCCATTTGGCAAATCTAGCAGTTATCTATTCAATTCCAAGCCGGCCTAGCAGCAGGAGTTAAGGAGCTTTCTGTTACTAAGTTGCTATCTGGATTGAAAGGTTTGAACTCTGAACAAAGAAGAAAACCACAAGACAGGATCCAGGTGATCAAGTGTGATTTTAAGACAAATGTGCAAAAAATAACTATTACATGAAACATTAATTTAATAATTCATCCAAAAACACTTGTTTCCACACAATGTGGCCTGGGGGTCGGAGCCACAACATCAGTTCAACAAGTCCTGCAGCAGCATTCATCTTGTTTGAGGTTAGGTCGTGTGCAACTCCGTTTCTTTCCAAATTAAGCATGAAACCGCTTGGTTTAATGTGGCCTGGAGCAGCCGTTTTCCACACCATTAAAAACAAAATGAGGTGGCCAAGAAGCGCCTAATACGACCACTTAGACCCTTAATGGTGGAGGCAGCGTGCAAAGACAGGCTCCAAAGAGCAGGAGCTATGGCACCACAGCACGTGTTCATATCTTATACTAATGCCTCATGGCACCTGCTCGGAACTTCATCAATTACTAACTGCAGTCTTGCGATGTCAGGGGGAAAAAAAGAAAAAAAAAGAAAATCACCAGACCTGATTGATTTATACTGTATTTTGTGATAGACATTTTTGAAAAGATCAGAGATTATAGAAGGTAGACTTAAATACGACATGAAACCAACAAAGCCAGCACTTTCCCCCCAACTGTTGCCTATTGCATGTTGTGACTTGTGACTGAGGTTGTAAATGTCTGGCAGGTATAGAAACGTTTAGCCTTAAAGGTAGGGTTACGGTGTTGGATGGGATAAGCACCGACTACACTTTACAGCAAGGCCTGCAGTTTGCACTGACGATGCTTATGTGTCCTCTGTTTGATAGGCATTACTGACACTATGGTTACAGACTGATTAAAAGTATCAGGCTCTATAGTATTGGCAAAAGTTGAACATGCAGTCTCTTCTGTGAGAGCGGGAACAGTGATCAAAACAGAGCGATTAACTCGAGTCATAACAAGTGTAGAGTGTTATTCAGAGACAGTTCAGAGACAATAGTTTGACCTGCAGAGCAAACTGTTAATGTGCCGTGAAATGATGGAGTAAGTTATAAGTGAGTATACAGAACAAGAAGAGCTTTTCTTAAAAACTTTGCATTAACGGCAAAGTCATGATTTCATATTTAATTACTACATTTGTTGGACTCCGGGGCTTGTTTCTTTATTGTAACACTGTTATAAATGTGTAAGGCAGACAGGCAAACAGTGCTGGGAATGGATCAAACCATTCCTCTCCCACAGACTCAGACATGTTGGGGTTTTATTTTGCACATCACTCTCCAGGATATTGTGGTGACTCAGCAGGGATTTGGATCTTAACGCCTGCGAGCCAATCCAAATAATCAGTCCTTTGAACCTCTCCATGGTAGCCTTTTTATTATATCGATCCCCATTTTAAGCACTCTATTATCACACAATATAACTTAGTGAGGGGCTGAAAACTAACAAAAAATGTCTAAGTGGGATTTGACTTTCCGTTCACAGGCATGGAACGCACTCACTTCAAAGATTGTGTTAAAATATGTTATTTCGCATTTTTCACAATTTTACATTCTCGATGCTGTACCCCGATGTCTTGTTCCTGCTTGTTGAGCTAATGTAGACCTTTGTAACTTACGCTACAAAAGAATACAAGTTGAAATGATTATAAATGATGAATGCTACCTGCCTATTTGATATACTATTGTAAAGTACATTGTCACACAGCAGCATGGCTCTAGCAACGTCTGTCAGTATTGTATGAACATTCATCTTCCCCAGAGGATGAAGCCTTCTGACTCCTGAGCCAGCAGGAAATGAAAGCCTAGACAAAACCCTCACTTGACTTTCATTCAGCTAGAATTCAATGCAAGCATTTCCAGTGGATATGAAGGGTAACAATCCTAGAAGTAAACAGGTCCACTATAGTAGTTTGCCAAACTGCCACTGAAAACAGCTATTATCAGCAATAGTCAGCATTATTACCAGCTTTCAAAGTCTTCAAAAGCTTGAGAAATGTCTTTCCACACACACATAAAAAGTGTCGAATACATCTGCCTACATGTAGAACAAGAAGGCCACAAAAGACGGATATAATAATATAGATTATATAAACAGGTTTCTCTGTTGATGTTCATTGAGAAAGCTTCACCAGCTGGTCAGGGAATAACAGAGGACCTGACAATACGCAACATGAGTCACCCGCTGCAGTTAATATACAACTATTTAAAATAAACACGGTTCAAATAAATAATAATAAAGTCAACAACTTGGCTTAGAGTTTTTTCTTCTTACTAAAATAATGACAATTCAGTAAAATACACACTTCAATGTTGAGTTTACATTAAAGTTCATTATCACAAAACTACAGTGTTATCGTCACCCTTTTCGGATGTGCAATTAAGTAGGTGATTTGTTTACACATCATTTAGAATCAGTTATATTTTTGTATATATTTGACACTGCTTAATTTTCTATTGTATAATAATTCTCATGTTACATTTTTGTTTTACACATTCAATCATCAATCTAATCAAATCAATGGTTTTTCATGGCAATAACAAAAAAACATAACTTCAACAATATGTCCACCACTGCCTCTGTGGCACCAGGACCCATTCATGCCTGCACCGTACTTAAGGCAGCCTGAACTACAACCATGGACAAAGCCAGTCGCTAGTAACCGCAGGACACAAAAGGGACCGTAATTTATCTTTGAATAAAAGACAATTCTCTAAGAATAAAACGCTTGTTCTCCTTAGGTTTTATTTTACGTTGGACAGTACCGACATCCACCTGTTCCACCTTAATGTTACGTGAACACCCATTCGAATGAAATGGAGCGCACTCCTCATTCAGTGACCAAGCAAAAGTGACTGCTTGGTCAATAGCTGTTTTAAAACACAACAAGGGAATATTAAACCCATCTGAAACTAGCAGTATTCAATCCAGCACACAAAGACACACACACACACACACACCCGAGCCATTCTGTAGCAAACATGGATGCATTTTCTTACCGTGTAAAGCCCAATCCTGCACAAGGCAAGAGAGAGCTGCATGTGCTCCGACATTGTGCCCAGCAACAAGCGTAACCCCCGGCAACAAACAAGCCGAGCCTCTGGAGTAAATGAATGGACGGAGGAGGATCAGGAGTAGCTGAGCATACCATTTTCAGGTCAACAACATGAGTCCAGCCCTTCAATGTCTCACTTTTTAATCTGGGCTTTACAGAGGGGTTTTGTAAGCGTTTGGATGAGCATAATTGAAGGTTGTGTTGTCTTTACTCCCCAGATTCATTCACAGAAAGATAAAACACTGTTGCCACCAGGCTCAGCTGACAGACACAGGCTTGAGATTAGTTTGTGGGGATCTTTCTCGCCACAGAGATTAAGGGCTCAGTGACAACTACGGATCCAGAATGACTACAAATTGGATTAGTCACCATTACCCACCCACACACTTTGCCCATACTGTACGCAGAGCTTCATGAAGAATAAAACACACTGCTTTCCTTGCATGGAGGAGGATGAAGGGATAGACCACTGGCGCTTACAGCGGTCGCGGGGATTTCATTAACTGTTGTGGGACGCTTTGTCAGAAGTCAGTGTGTTCAGAGAGAACTGTGAGTCATGTTCAAAAAGCTTGCTCTGGTCAGCTCGGCTGTCTAGTAATGGTTGCTGCAACCACCTGCTAGCATAGCGCAGTTATGATATACTCAACTGTAATGCAATACGGTAAGGTGACATTTAAATTGATGTTTCTGTATTCCCAAAAACATTCTGAGCAACTTTAAGGCTAATTAGCTTAGTGACAGTATCATGTACACTTCCTGGGTTAAAATCCAGCTTTTGTCATAAATCTCTTTCTCTCTGCTTGTCCAATCTCATCCAAAGAAGGGCATGTCATAGAAGGTACAGGTTGTAATAGATATCTTGTTTCGTAATGCAACACCATAACTAGACAGCATATAATAGCCTAGTTTTACAGTCGTTTATTCAGTGTGACTGTAGGTCAACCACAGTTTATGGATCCTATGAAACGCTCAATGATAAAGATATGAGTACCAGACAACATTATGGTTTTATGGACCATCCCACACCTCTAATAATATGAATGCGGAATAATAAACCAATGACAACAAAGCCCTTCACCTATCCATGTCCTTGATTTTCTAGTGAGCGAAAGCAATGTGAGTGGTTATCGCCCGAGATAAAGAAAAGGAAATATGATAACAGTTCATGAATGCCTCTTTAGAGCAATGACCCATCATCTTATGTGAATGCCAATATGAAATTAACCTAAAGTGCCTGAGCTTTATCATGATCAAAAGATTGTGAAACAACCATAAGTATCCCCTTATCAGCAAGACTGATGTTGCCCAGGCCCTATCTGCTGACTCATGAGCACTCTTCACAGACGATGGGAATCACTGCATTCAGAAACCAGCAGACACAGAAACATGGCTGACACGCTGCCAGCAGGTTGAAATCCGGGACGGGAGTTCCAGAATGTTGTTGGGCTCACAAAGGTATTTCACATTATAGCTGGAGGCTGTGCACTTTAAATAAAATAAAAAGGAACTGTAGCCAACACCAAACTAAAAGGTAAACCATTCACATCCATTCAAACTGAAACCTGAGTAAACCAGCTCTCACTGATGGAGTGAGTCAATTATTAACATCTATCTACATACTGTATAAAAGCCAGACATTTTGTGTGTATATATATGTGTGCAACTGTTGTTGCTCTAATCTGCATGCAATAGGTCATTTTTGACAACTTGTCTTCTCCACCAGTCAGGTGTAGAACGTGGTCAGATGGGGGACAAACTAGGTGGAAAAGTTATCCCATAGGCTAACAAACAGTATTCATACGCTGCCAAAATCTCTTCCGGCTCTCATTCCTCTGTGTTATCCCAGCGAGATGCCAGGCTGCTATGCCCTGCTGTGTGCCTTGCTCTGAAATACAGTATAACTGCTCTGAAATACAGTTGGCCCGCCAAGAACACATGCTAACACAATTTATTTTCATGAAGGTGTGATCTTAGTGCTGAGTGCAAACCGAATACCACAAAGCTGCCCGGGGTTCATTCAGTTCAGAGACCTTGTTGATGTCATGCCCCCTAACTCTCTCTCTTTTTCTCAGGAATGGTTGACTCCTTAACTGCCCATTAAAGACAAGAAATAAAGAATTATCGTGTTTTATTTTTAAATACTGCAGATTCCATGATGTTTCCTTGAGCTAGTGGCAGCAAGTGTTTAACACACTCAATAAATAATCATAAGAGGAATCTCACATTTCAGATGATGGTTCTCCAATGAAAGTAATTCTTTTTAGGGTAGTTAGTTATTTATGAACGGGCCATCTTCTGCTACATGCCAATTTATACTGAATTAAAAAACACATGAAGAATGCAAACTCTGTAACTTGATGTAATTATCTAAATGATGTTCCAATGTTGGTATTCTGTGTATGAGATAAATAGTTAATCCAAAATATAGTTATCCTGCCAAAATAAGAGCTGGCAAAAAGACCAATTAATATTGTGGTATAAATACTGATAACAGCTCTGGGTAGATGAAAGTGTCGTCAACCATGTCCAATTCTTAGATTCTATTCACAATAACAAAGCAGAAAGCTAACATGTGGCAGCTAGCATCGGCAAAACTAGCTGAAAACAGGTGTTTGGCCTTTTAGTCAGACAAGTATTAATAGCAATGACAGCTGAATACCTAGCATCTTGGTTAAAAGCTTTGGTTTACCAGATAACGAAAATGTTTCACATTTTAGAAAGAGGGTCAAAGTGTACACAGGGTTCTCCATCTCTACATGAATTGCAATTAGCCAGTTAGTAATATGCATGTCTGTTTTGAAATGTATTAGCTATATAATAGTGTTAGCAAACTGTGGCTAAGTCATATTACATCCAAAAAGTTAAATAAATGTTGCTATTACCCTGCCTTTCGCATGTCTTGGTAATAGTTTCATGTAGTTAATGCAATGCTTTATGTTTACAACAGGGGATAGAATGGCAAGTGGGTGGGTGGTTTTGACAACATTTACATTTTGAATTGAAATGCACATATCTATTTCATAGTGAAATATGTCCAATGTTTAGCAACAAAGCATGCAAGTCAATCAGAAATATGGCAAATGCAACTGTTGAATTTAAATCAAGAGACAATGATTTAATTTAATAAATAAACTGTCTTTCTTACAACCCCTTTTTCTCTAAGGGAATACCCTAGCTCCATGATCTCCCTATATTTCCCTCCTGTATGTTCCTTCTGAAAATGAGCTGGAGTAGATGTGAGGGTCAGCCTGTTAGTGGATGAGGCTCTCAGCTATCTGTCAAATCATCAGTATATGGTTTAAGGTCAATGCAGGTGGTTGAGCTCACTGACTATTGGCATAATAAAACTCGCCTTTTCACTTTTGCCTTCAACTCCTAATCCACTAAACGCATGCCCCTATTCTACCTAGCTTAGCACTTTTTACCTTTGTTGTTATTTTTCTTTACTTGCTTGTAAAGAGCTATGAGCACCAGGAAAAGCGCTATATAAATAACATGTATTATTATAATAATCAGTTTTTCCACACCAAACTAAATAAAGGTTAATGTTGAAAGAATTTGTTTAGCATGTTTGGCTTCCTTAGGGCAGAGTTAAAAAAATGACCAGAATGTCAGTCAACCCGAGGGTTTAGTCACTAATGTGCAGCGGAAATTAAAAGCCTGTAATCTTTTCAAACTAGGCATATGTTGTTGCAAGATCACGAAATATCCTAGAGGCTGAGAATGCGCCTCCAGCGACTGATCAACAGAAATAATGCAATGGAATAGCTGTAGCATGAATATGACCATGCAAACGTAACAATGTGTTAAGCAATAATAGGCCATTAAAGCCAAAGGAGATTAATGCTGTATGTTCTTGTATGTTTTTCAGAAATAAAAAATACAGCAAATAGTTTGGTTTTCTCACATAGAAAGTGTTAACGCTGTTAAACGTGTCCTCTAGTAAAGTTGGCCAAAAGTCAGGGTCCAAAATTGGCAACACAGTGCACTTGTAATTTGGTAAGGCTCTGTCATGGCAACAAGCTAGCACCAAATTCCTCTGTCGGTGTTTTGTGAAGTCTTTTTCAACACTATACTCACCATGCAGGAGTACAGTTTTTCAAAATGCTCCAGGTCTCAGTGGGAAAATGAATCCACTTTTAAACAGATGTCTGCAACAGTCATAATTCAAACCACAGTTATGACCAAGCACTGTGCAATAATGATGTGCTTCCATTTCTTAATGTCCAAAATACTCTTTAAGGTCTAACCTGATAAGAACCTTACGTAAACGGCATGCGTATTGCTTTAGACTAGCTTCATTTTTCAAGGGTTTAGTGACAAGTTCCATTGATTTATAGGAAAGAGAGAGACATAGTTTGGGCCTGGGTTTTATGCCAGGTCTCCAGTGTTGCACAGCAGGAAAGGAGGCCCTGCGCCTATTGAGTGCCTGACCTCAGAGGACAGCCAAGCGCTCGGCTCCAACAGTCCACAGAGTTACAGCTGTGCTTTCCACAGAAAACTGTTTGACACAGAAAATCTTTATTCCTTGAGCCAGTAAGCTGGAAAAAAATCATTTTCCCCTAGGTAATGTGAGCAGTTATAGCATATAGCGCTTTGCCAAGACAAAAAGATCCGAGCTGAAATCAACTTCTATCATTTCACTTAGAGTGTGCTTACTTTTATAACAATGCCTGCTGGGTTCACCTTACCAGAACTTTCCATTGACATGCAAATGATATTACAAAATAACTAAATTATTTGCTTGGCTTTTGACCGTTTGCATCCCTTCTGATTTTAAATGTCATCTGAAATGGTATGTGATTTTATGTTGTCATGTTTTAAAATGTTTGTGGTGATGTTGCTATATATTCTGTAATGTGATTTTATTTGTTGATTTAGTTGTCACATCAAGCTGAGGGACAAAAGTTGAATAAAATACCTTTTGGCTAACACTGGCACTTTAAGAAACAGTGTTGTGATCCACAAGCTAAATTCCTTGCAAGATTATTAACTCCAAAGTCAGATGCTGCAAAAAAGCAAGCTATAAAATCGGTTTGCATTGACTATTGCATACAGGTTCTACTGCCAGTTGCAGGATAGGACTGTGTCATCTCAACTCAAGACATGTCTCAATGAAGCAGAA